AGGAGCTTCTTAGATCCCTGTCCCTAACAGATTTTGGGTTTTCAAGTGGAGGCACAAAGTTATTATCCCTTACACACAGGCGTGAATCTCAACCGACACTTGCTTGTGCTGGTAGGACTCTAACCCATCTACCCCTAACTCTCTTCAGATGTTCTTGTTCCTAATGTTTATGTGTGACATTATTTTTTTTTACTAAAAAATATTTGCATTTCGATAGCATTGGAATAAACAGTTGTCTAACTTCTGTTCTTGTCAGGCTAAAGGCCAGCTCTGTATTTGAAGTGGCAGAATTGATCTTATGAACACATGAGAGGGCATAAAGCCTTAATGAATTTCATCCACATTTTAGTATCTGGTTAAGGAAAGCAGTGAAGAGCCAGGGTCTTCAGGAAGGTGGTTTTATTTGACTCAGGAAATCTTACTCTTCTAATGCTTGACCCAGTTTCCCGTATTTCTCATCTTTGCCATGTTTTTAACAGGAAGTAAGGCTTATGTTTTAGTGTGTTCAGGCTTCTATAACAAAACACCACACACTGGGTGGCTTATAAATAACAAATTTACTTCTCACAGTCCTGGAGGCTGGACGTCTGAGATCGCACGGGTGCCAGCATGGTGGTTGCCGAATGCTGGCTTCTCAGATCCTCACTTGGCGACATAGCCTAGAGAGCTCTCTGGGTCCTCTGGCAGCACTAATCCTAGTCTGGAGGGCTCCACCCTCATGACCTAATCTCTTCCAAAGGCCCCCCTCCTCGTGTCATCACCTTTGGGGGTTAAGATTTCAACACAGGAATTTGAGGGAACACAAACAATCAGACCATAGCTGATTAGTTCCCAACATGTCCCTAGCAGGTTGGTTAAGCTCCAATAGTGGCTAAGAAAAGGGAATACATGAGGAGGGAGATAGGGAAGTATCTCTTATTCAAGGGTGGGAAGAACAGAACGTTGGAGGGTCAGACAGTGCCGTGGAGAGCAGCTCAGAGGGACACCGGTGTTCTAACACGCTGGGTAGTATTCCGTGTGTACCTGTGGAAATGATGGCCGCCTTGCCAGGGTACTAAGTGTCAAACGGGCTGGAGATATAAGAACCTGCCTCCTTCAAAGAAATTGAGTCAGCCAGACACTAGAGGTGAAAATATGAGCTAATGGGTTTTGGATTCCCGTATCTTGTAATTTAAACTTCAGAAGGAGAGCGAACAGATTGTAGGGGAGCCTTTCACAGCGTGGGTACTAAATAATCGTTGTAATAGTAGATCCCGCATTTTGTGACAGGTAGAAGGTAATAACAGCAGAATATCCTGCCCTCACTTTAATAAAATTACCCCTTGTTGCTACCGCAGGACATTAAAGTAGGTTAATGGGACACATTAAAAAATTTATCACGGAGGCAGGGGGCAGTCTCTTCTTGGATCACTGAAGCAGGGGGAAGGAGGTAGAAGTATTAAAAAATGAGTGCTAAAGAGTAAGTACTATTTCAGAGGAGATGAAGATAGATTAAAAAATGCAAAAGGATTAAGAAACTTTTAAAATAATAATTCAAAAACATTAAGACTGGAATTTATTTTAGTTATATAAGGAGAGGTGGTTTATACGGAAACATGGGGCCATTTGGCGGAGTTGCAGCAGCCCACCAAGGCCTGCAGAGGTTGTCCGGGTGGGGTCCCCTTCTCGCAGAGGGGGAGACGGATGAGGAAGGGCCTGATTCAGCATATGCTTGGAGTAAGCAATCGTGGGAGTCTGGAATGGGCCCCAACAGTCACACTGCTCTGGAGCCTCTGACTCAGAAAAGTGAGAGCAGAGTGAAGTTAGGGCTCTTTTGGGCATTTGTGTTTCATCAGTTATCACATGATCAGAAGGAGTTACTCATTCACAGCTGGCTCGGAATTCTTTACTGCTGTGTCTTGCCTGCATTTTCACTGCTGATTATGCTCTTGGGTATAGAAACTCCAGGGGAGAGACATGACTTTTTTCAAAACCTGGTTCATGTAGACTGGAGGGGTCTTGCTTTGGTCACAGCTTTTGTGACATTCAGAACCACACTTTCCTCCCTGTTCTTCTTCTTAGCTGTTCATCTGCTTCCTTAGAAGTTATCTGCCATTTAGTGGGAATGAGAGAGAGAGAGGTAATGGGAGCAAGAACAAAATATAAAGACAGCCACACGGATTCTAGTAATAAAAGTTTATCTTCAAGAGGGAGACTTAAAAGTAGCATGTGCAAATATACTAATGTTTTCATTCATGTATGCAAGGTGAACAAAGGGAATGAGGAAAGATGTTTTCTCAATTACATATTCTAAAGATGAAAGAAGGAAATAAAGGAAGGGATGGAGGAAGGCAGCTTATAATTGATGTTATTAAATATATGCCTTTCTAATTATTCTCAATATTTGTAATTCTATTTGTCCCTATCATGTCAACAGTGTATAAAGTGTATTCATACAATATTTCAGAGTGACTTGTATCATGTGTTTAAAGTATTTTATTGTAGTCATTCATTTATTCATTCAGCATATAAGTATTGATTTGTACAACTGTTTTTACAAATCAACAATTTTAGTAAAAATAAGATACTCGTAATGTGTTCTACAAATAGGAAAAAAGGATACAATGCAAGAGAAAAACAGAGGTGTATGATGTAGATTTGGTGGGACAGGTAGTTGGTCAGGGGATTCTTCCCTGAGATGACCTTAACCTGAGGCCCAGGCCAGGAAAAGACTCAGCCAGGATGGGAGGAGGGCAGGAGAGAAGAGAATTCAGGTGGAGAAGACACATTTACAGTAAACCTTGTTAGAGAGGCATGAGAGACGTTCCTCACGGCGCTTGGGTTCTCCGCTGGTTTTCGACCGGCTGTGGAGGCTGTGCCGTCTATTGGTGCTGACACTTTCCGTAGCTCATTTTAGGCCACTAAGTGCCTAGGGAGCCAGGGGTTGTCAAGTGTCGACGTGTGAACTCAGCTCTGTAAAAGTTCAGCAAAATGTTTAACTTGGGGGTGATGTCTAAGTCTTCATTAGTGGCTCTATTGAGCTTTTTGATGAGCAGGAAAAGGAAGAAGAATAGAAACATACAGATATTTATTTTTGAAAATATGAGATCACATTTGTACCCCAAAGTCCATGGCTTAAGAAGTTGAATATTTCAGGGATTGCATCATTTTGTTTTAATGTAGGTATTTTTCCCTGAGATTTTAGTTTCCCAAAGAAAGTGCAGAACTTTATGAAGATATTTAAACAATCAGTTAAACAATGAAAATAGCATGCCATACCTTAACTAGGGCACATTTCTGCAGTTATTTAATTTGTTAGGTTTATACTAAACATACCTTTGAATAAAACATCAACGGGAGTCACTACTGCATTACAACTCACTGTTTGGAAGTCGGTGCTGTTTCTAAGTTTCTCACCTAAGCAGGTGTCCTAGGGTCTTTTTAAGCCATCTGGAGTGTGGTATATAAACACTTCTTAGTCTTCAGACTCCTTATTGGAAATATGAATACATGGCACTCCTACTTATGAATGTAAGCCATGCTACATTCATAAGCAATAACTAAGGCTTCAGATGAATTTGGTTCTAGGAGGATGGAATGGTGTACCACACTGTGGAATGTGTGAAGTTCCTGGATATTTAATTTATATATGGGATATAGGTTATCCATGTGTCCCACTAATACAAAGTACACAGCACCTTCCTCAATACATCTTGGGCCTCTGTGAGGTGCACCCTGCAGAGCAGAAACAAATCGGAGGGCCAGTGCGTGGGGAAGGTCAGCTTCACATTGAATGTGTTTTCAGGCCTATTGTACACCTCTCTGGAGGTGATCATATCATTGGGGAATATTAGTTTTCTGTTATCCTAGGTTGGTTTGCCTCCAGCGAGACAGGCAACTCTGTGCCCAGCTCCGGGCACATTCTCATGGGAGACCGCGGAGTTGTGCGCGCAGCAGTCTTGGGGCCCCAACTGCGTGTAGCATCAGAGCAGGAGTTAGGTCTGTATCTGGTGTAGTCTTCTTGCTAAATGTGTGTTCTTGGGCAAGTCTTGGGACTACAACTGCACATAGTATCAGAGAAGGAGCTAGATTTGTGTCTCATGCAGTCTTCTTGCCAAATATGTGTTCTTGGGCAAGTCATTGACCAGTTTCCTAGTCTCTAAGCCAAAGATGACGCTCGTTTGGTGGTGTCCTGGAGCCTGCTCAGGGCGCCCATCAGAGCCCGTGTGTCTCTTCCAGTTTCGAGCTCAGTGAGGCCTGTGGATAACCTGAACATAACCTGAATGCTCCCACTACCAGCTAATGATGCAAAGCAAGTGGTTTTGGCAGTGAGGGTGGGGAGAAGGGAGGTGCACAAGAGGAAGGAGGCAGCTCTTAAACATTTATCAGGGCAGCACTTAGTTCCTACCTCACAGCGTCTTGTGAAGATGACTAAGGGAATACACAGGATATGCTTGGCACAGAAGGAAAGTACATAGCAAGTGCTCAATCTCTTTGTTCTTCTCCCCTTTCATTTCCTCTGTGTTTCTCCCCAGACATGTTTTCATGAGGCTTTTAGACCTTTCACCATGCTTTTATTTCTTGGTTGTTGGAGGGCATTTCTTACTTTAATATAATTTCAAAACAGGAAAGCATGTATCACCTGGACAAGTTGCTGATTTTCTGAGGAAAAAAGTATAGCATAGAAAGGTCAAGTGATTAATCCAAGCTGAAGCAGCTACTGGTAGCGCTGGAACAGGTGGTCGGTCTGAATGATGTTTTTACCACCCTAGGCCGTGCCACCTGCGTATGTGAATGCAGTCGTTTATTTGTACAAAAAAAAAAAATTACATAAGTATAAGTAAATGAAAAAAATTACCAATTAATTCCCCAAAATAAAACTTTTTATTTATAATCTATGTACACATATTTGAATATATATAACAGTAGCATAATTTTTATGTTCTACATATTTTTTCCTTAGTATCATATATCTTGCTTTAAATCAATTTTAAACATTTTATTAATAGAGAAATTTTTAGCTTTCAGAAAGAGCTCTTGCTTGAAGATAAAGAACAGTTTGCTAACTGCAGAAGAAGAAGCGATGCTAAGTTTTTAACTGCACTTCCTAAAGGTATGACTTTCTCTGAATGGTTGACCAGTGTCCTAGGCATATAACTATAGTGTTACCAGTTTGCCTTGAGAACTCTTTAACTAACCTCCAGCTTATAATCTCCTGTCTCTTTCTGCCTTATCCAAAAATCAACCTCAATGAAAAGACCTCTCTTCTTGCATTTTTATTCCTCACCTTTCTACATATTCTTTCCCTCGCATTTGAGGCACCCACAAGTTTTCACTGGAGGCTGGGTGGGGAGGGTACGACAGGGATCCTAGAATCAACCCTACCTTGTCTCCCCTAACTTCCACATCTCCAAGGGTGGCAAGTTCTGCGCATATGCCCATCCCTTCTCCCTCCAGCCTCCCCCTGGCCTCTTGATGTTTTCCCACGCTCTGGCATCTACAGTTACTATCTAGTAGCTCCCATTGAGCTCCACACTGTGCCACAAGCGCGGACTGTCTCTTCTTCATCTCTCTTCCATGAGTAGGCACTCACATTTGGTAACTTAGTATTTTCATTAGTGAAAATGAACATGCAGTAAAATATTTTCATCTGCTATCAACCAAGGGCCTTAGTTTTGCCTGTGAAATGATAGAAATTTATACCGTTCAGTCCATCCATTCAAAGGCTACAGTTTCAGTGGCATTCATGGGGTTATATATCCATCCCCCCAAAGAGAAACCCCACACTTCTTAGTCTGGCCCCCTCCCACCTTATCCCTCCAATTTTGTAATTACTTATTTTACAAGCTGCTTGTCTAGACACTAGAGGCTTTCATCCAAGTGTAAAGCTGAAGTGCTTCCTCCTGGGGCCAGAGGAAGCTCAATGTTCAGAACAGTCTGGCCCTGCATGTGCCCTGAGGCATCAGATGTGGGGTAAGGGAGCCTGTTCTCCACACTCCTCCGCCCCCCGTGTTTCTTTGGAAGACTCTGCGTACTCAGGTTTGGAGGACCGAACTGAACAATAACTAATGGAAAAAATCATGTTTCCCAAGAAAAGTATCTGGAAGACCTGAATATTGGTGTTAAATATTATTGCAAAGCAAACTAGGCAGTTAAATAATTTTATAAAGCATTTAGACCTGAAGCCAAATCCACTCAAGTTGTGTTACTTAGAAAATAACCAACAAGTTCCCATCAGAAATAACTAAAAATATAGACTCATGGAATACATATTGCTCAAACAAGGGCAGCAGACTAAAAAGTAGATATAATAAAGGGTAATTTAGTATACATCAAAGTATTAATGTCTTTGAAAGCAAAATAGAAAATTGATTACAGCAGAAGTTAGATCAGCTGTGCTTGTTTATATCTGGATTACTATTAATCAGTATTACCATTCCCAAACCATGTATGAGTTATATACATTATGACGCAGCATACAACCAATTGAATTATAGCTGTGTGATCTAATTTTAAAACATTCTTATTCCTTATTTTTGAGAAATATATAGTGAAGAATTGAGATGAAGAAGCATCATGCTGCAACTTCTAAATGGTTCATAAAAATGAATATGTAAATGTGTGTGCATATATTTTTATACACATGCACACAAATATACACATGGGAGAATAAAAGAACAAAAATAAAACAAATGTAGTAAAATGTTAGCATATTATGAAGGATGCCTTTTCACTTTCCTATAAGTCTGAAATTATATAAAAATGTCAAAGGAAAGAGAACTTCTTTTGGTAGATCAAGACTGTTAATCAGAAGATAACTGTGGTAGAACTACAGGTGGTCTCCATAAGCAACATGCACTGGTAGCATAGATTTCCACAGCAAGGGTAACTTTTATGATTTCTTGGTATTAGCTTTTTTTCAATGCTTAATGATAAACCTGACCAACTTTCAGTGAGAGGACCTAATGAGGACCACAAGTGCCCACATGAGGTTTTCTTTTTTCCTGGAAAGGAATGAAAAAAGTGTACACATTAGCAATGCAAATAAAACATGTTTCTCTTTTATCAACTGATGTGTTTTCCCACAGGATAAATATACTGGAATAATTATATTACATGTCATTTTACTTTTAAATTATACACTTGGGGAAAGGAAGCTAAAATCAAGATGTCTATTACTTCTTTTGTCTTCCACATCATTTCTTTCTCCTCTAATCTCATGTCTATAGGAATGAAGCAAATCTTGGTAATTAAAAATGTATGTGTAAGAAAGAATAGACTTGAGAGGTAATTTATTTTCCTCTCTAATTTTTTTTCATTTCCCTAAAATGTTTACTATAGAGTTTCACTAAGAATCAATAAGCTCACCAATACATTTAAAGTATACTTTGATTCATTTCTCAGCACAAGATGAGGAGGACTATAAGGTTTTAGGCTTGAAATAGTTTTGAGTCTGAATCTACACTGGATTGAAAAGAGTGCCGTGATGGGTAGTGGCGGCTGTCATTGGCATTCCCTAGGGCATGAACTAGGGAACCGGCTGCCTGTTAGAAGTCTGCATACTGGGATCAGGGATTCTCAGTCCAGGGCAGTGTAAAGGGGGGTTTTGGAAACACATGAACATATTTGTATTACAGCAACTGGGGATGATTTGGCATTTAGTAGAAGAGCCAGAGCTACTCAGCAGCCTGCAGTGCAAGGCTCACAACAGAGAAACTGCCCATTCACAAGGCCATGAGTGCCGCCATAGTGATCTGTGACCTACTCCGGAGCCAGCCCCCATGAGTCTGTGCTCCTGATGAGGTGCACCTATATGTTTGCTAAGTGCTCTCCTGCAACTTCTTATACCCAGCAGTGAACAGCTAACAGAGGACAGTGTTCACTGGTGGGTGGCCCAGCCTCTTTTCTTCCAGAAAGCAACAGAGATTCCAATGGGCAGTAGGATAACTTGGCTTACTTGCCCTGTCCCTCCCTGTCCCCTCACTGCCCCAGGCTTCTTGGGGTTCAGTTTCTGTGATGAACTATATTATGACCATCAGCCTGCCCCCTTCTCATATTATCTTTGTCCTTACAGAATACTGAAATGGCTCGGTAATGGCAGTAGGAAACCTATCATTTTGTCGTGGGCGGGACATTTGCATAGTCTCACAATTAGCTGATCTCTACTTCTAGACTATGGGGGAAAAAATGTTAGGAAGCAAATTGTTGTTTAGCTTTTCACTCTATTGCTCGAAGTCACTTTTTTGGGTCTTTCCTTGCATAATTTTTATAGAAAAATTTAAAAAATTTAATGACACAGAAGTGATTTTCACAATCTTAAATTAGGACAGAAATATAGTATATCTTAACGTTTCCCAAGTGAAAGTTGTGTGCCACTCTGTGTGTGCTACATTAACATTTTATCCTCACCCTGTCATACTCATTTCAACGGCCAGATCAACATACCATAAACCAGGTGGCCTATAAACAGCAAAATTTTACCCCTGGTTGTTCTGGAGGCTGGAAGTCCAAATCCAGGTGCCAGCATGGTCAGGTTCTGATGCGGACCCTCTTCTGGGTGGCAGACAGCCAACTTCTGGCTGTGTCCTCCCTCTTTTATAAGAGCACTAATTCTAATCATGTGGCCAGAGCCAAATCACTTCCCAAAGTTTCCACCTCCTAATACCATCACTTTGGTGTCAGAATTTCAACCTCTGAATTCGGAGGTGACAAAACTATTCAGACCATATCATACCTAGTAGAAATAACTTGGGGAGAGAAAAGGGTCATGTGTGTATATCATTATACAACTCACGACCCTATAAACGTTCTCTGCTTCTCAGTTATGGTTTGAGGCATGAGCTTAAGAAATGCCTTTCAGAGCACTTGGAATTTGGTTTCAATAGCTTCTTGAGCAGTCTTCTAAAAAATACAGCTCCATTCTCCACTTTGGAGACTTAAGTAAATAACTGATACTCTTTGGCTTCTATCATCCTTGAAAATATTTGCAAAATATGTTCTACCAGCCATTATGTCTCTATCACCGTAATCTCACTAGAGCCAATTTGTTAACTGGGAACCTATCATTAGCCCAGCTCACGCAGGAGGCAGTGGGGCCGATGCTCCATTATCACTAAACCCATGTCTTCTAAGCAGGGGCGTCACTGACATTGCAGGGCAAGCACACTTGTGCCTCTAGTTCCTCCAGGTCTGGGAAGGCCACGTGAGAGACTCTTCGGAAGCCAACAGTCTTAACAAAAGCCAACCTAACTTATATTTTAAGGTGGCTATCATTTAAAAATAAATCAAAAACAAGGCTTGTATCCCCGAATGCAATCAGAGAGCGGTATAAAAGCCGCCCACGTGGGCATGTCTAGCTGTGTGTATATGGTTTCAACTCATTCCTAAAAAACGGCCACTTTAAAAGAAAAGCAAGTAGAAAATGAAGCAGTTGAAAATGACATGCCATGTGTTCACACTCCCTCTTTTGAATTCTTTTGACTCAGCCTTTCAAAAAGTCTGTGGGCCCCCAGGCTGTCAGTACTTCTCTCTCCCACCCCTTCCCTAGTCTTCAATAGGCCACTCAGATGAGCCCACAGGCATTCTCAGGACTGAAGAGAAGGCCAGAAGAGAGACTTTTACTGTCCACAAAATTGAGCCATTCCTCCAAAGAAACAATTATTTGGCATCTTAGTAATACCCTTGTAGTCACTATCACATGAGACCCATCCAGCATCAGCAGAACATGTATCAGGTCATCCAGAATTGCTGGGAGAATTACAGTAATTACTTTATCCATCATACAACTAAATTACAGCATTTCCTTCCAGTGAAAGCCTGTAGGAGAGGCTGAGGAACTGCGTTCCTCTGCGTGCTGTGTTGGTTCCCGCTGGAAACACAATTAGGCAGTTACACCTACTTACAGGTTAAATGATGGGGTGAAACAGGAGTGCTGTGTCCTGCCTGCTGTAGTTTGCCGGTGGGCGTGTGGGAGGGGTGCACAGTATTAGTCTATACTGTTGCAAATGTCAATGAAAAGCTGAAAATACTTCCTAAATCTCATAACAGTTAAAGATCGTTACTGAGGTTTCTGCTTGCTCGATAGACCTTACTGGTTAGGTCTCCCCTGACTCCCCTGCATGGACCAGAGCTTGTTCTTATCACTTTGCCCCTAACTCTCACGGTTTTACTTGTGTGCGTGCGTGTGTGCGCGTGTGTACACCTCTCATTTGGCGCCTGCCTCCCTCACTAGAAGACAGCTTCCAGGAAGGCAGGAACTGTGTCGTTTTGTGTGTCACTGTTACAGGGGGAGCCAAGAACAGCAGTAGAAGTTCAAGAAATGTGTGTTACCCAAAAGAGTAAAATGAATAGATGACTAGTGAATGCTGGACTATTTTTTTATTCTTTTGTTTCAGTTGCAGAATTAAGAAAAATCTTTGAACCAAAGAGGAAAGAATTTTTAGAAATGAAAAGGTAAGTTCTATAGTGTGTATAGTGAGCAAATAGAAGAGCTTGGCAAATCAGTGCTCAGCTCTCCCTTACAATTCATTTGCATTGCTTACTTTTTTGGTGTCTTGCACAGAAAAGAAAGAATTGCCAGGCGCTTAGAAGGAATTGAAACGGACACCCAGCCCATCCTCTTGCAGAGCTGCACAGGGTTGGTGACGCACCGGCTGCTGGAGGAAGACACGCCCAGATACATGCGTGCCACAGACCCGACCAGCCCCCACACCGGTGAGCATCCGCGGTGGCTTGCCGTCAAGCAGGCTGCTCCGCTGTTCCACAGAGCCTTGTTCATCCCTTGGTATGGGGGAGTGAGATGCTCCACAAAGTGGATTGTGTAGATATAGTTATATTCATGTGCATATTTGTTAATAACTTCAACACATTTATGTCAGTTCTGTCCTGCTTCACAGGAGTGGTCCTCCAGGATCCCAACAGCGGCACACTGTAGGGTAATCAATGATGACTCTCATTTCTCCCCCAACCTGGTGCCCCTCAAGGCCAGGAAATACATCTCTCTCTTTGTACCCTCAGAGCCCTGGCACAGGACCTGCTTGCTGTCAGAGGTCCCCCGTAAAAGTTTGTTTGGTAAAGGACTGAATGAGACATGTTTAAATGGAATGCCCAACTATCTAGCACAGGGCACAGCTGCTCTTAGGAAGGAACGCTAGGACCAAGCAGGACCTTAAATGATTAGGGTTGTCATTCTGTGTGTTCATGTAACAAACATTCTATTTAAATTATTTTTATGTATGTAATTTTAAATGCATTGCATATATATTGCAATGCATTGCAAATGCATTGAACAGTATGTCAGACATGATTTAGCTTTTCCTTGATTACTCACTCATTGTTGGGGACATCAAATATTCAACTTGACCTTGGGAGAAGGTGACATATTCAGGGCTATTCTTTCCACCCCCATCCCTGGTTCTGCAACTCCATGATGCTGCTCTTTATAGGCAGTGTTTTCTAATTTCTTCCTCAGAATGGGCTGCTGATCTTACTTCATGAGGTTAACAGTTTGCTTATCTGTACAGCTTCTGATCTTTTATGACAGGCAAACTAGAGAGCTAAGATTTTAAAAATTACATCATAAAGAATCAATAAAAAACAGAGTACCAAGTTTATAGCTAGAAATAAGCCCTACTGTATATAAAATGTTAATCTATATATTATATAATCATTTAAACATCACATGTTAATGAGAAAAGGGAGAGTTATTTAATGAAATGGTCTTGGAAAAATGGATTGTTGTTGGGTAGGGAAGGGAATATGTTTCTCTTCTGACTTTACACTGAACACAAAAGCAAGTTCCAATTGATTACATGATTAATTTTAATAAAATTAAACATATGAAAACATAGGCGAGTATGTAATTTAAGCTGAATGGAAAAGGACTTTCAAAGCACAGAAATAGCTGTTGAAATCACAGATTACCAGGTCAGGTGATTTGACTACACAGCAATGACCATTGATACTCCAAAGAAAATCTCATGGGTAGACTTCGCGAGAAAATTAAACAAGCCAGTTTGAAAATATTTATAAGACAAAGACTCACATTCCAATATATGTTTACACCAACCAATAAAAATGACACTATGAATTAATAGAATATATAGAGCACTAAGCTTGACGAGATTTGTATTATCTTCTTCAGAGTTTAGAGTTTCAGTTTATCTTTGATGCAGACTTTATAGACATTAATTTGACAGTCTCACATGCATCTCAAAATGTTGTACCTGCTGATAAAGCAATTTTACAAGTGTATTGTGATAGTATCAGAAAAATCATACTGATTGAAAGTTAGAAACAATTTAAATGCCCAGTAATAAGAAAAGAGTTAAATTAATTACGGAATGCCTGTTGGATAGAATATTACAAAGAATGATGTCTTTAAATGATGCCTTAAAAGAATGATGTCTTTAAATAAGATTTCCAAATACAGGAAAATGTTTTCTATAGAATATGAATGTTATATAAAACAAATTATTTTATATAGAAAAAAGAAAAAATCAGTTATATAAATGATTAGAAGGTCTATATAGAAATGTTTGGTAGATTACCAATTTATTCATTATTCATTGTTATAAATTAGTGCCTACTGGTGATTTGGGGTTACACCCTCTTATGTTTTCAATGGTAGACATTTTCTATGTCAAGCATTGTGCTATAATTGGAAAAATCCACTTCTGTTTAAAAAACACACGCAACAATTTGGTAAATACCGACATGGGCATATTGTTATGGTTACTATCAGATCCTATGAAACTACAATCCCCTACTTGTCAGATTACAGCAGTTCAAATATCTGTTATCTTTTTCTAGAGGACTCTGAACTCACCCTCTGGCCTCACACATGAAATATTAAACTCAAAAACAAAAAGAGTAAGTCAATAAGGGGCAATAGCTCTGAGCGAGAACTGAAGGGCTCTCAGGAGTGAGGGACTGAGCTTTAGTTCATCCCTCGCTCTACGTGGCTTGCAGAGCCCATTGGACATTCGAGCCTTCATTCATTTCACAGCAGATCCCAGGTAAACCATTTAACTACACCTGTGTGAGAAACTGGCCCTTCAAGTGTACGTGCTCAAGTGTGTACTATGTATAAAACAGTACAGTAAATGTGCCTTTGCTTAAATCTGTATTGATTATCCATATGATCTTCTTGTAGGCCGATCTAATGAAGAGGAAGAAACTTCTGATTCTTCGTTAGAAAAGCAGAGTCGACCTAAACACTGCCCAGAAACCCCAGGGGTCCATGGTGACTCAGGTATCATGGACACCCAGAGTCTGGAGTCCAAAGCTGAAAGGATCGCAAGGTACAAAGCAGAGAGAAGACGACAACTGGCAGAAAAATATGGGCTAGCTCTGGACTCTGAGGCAGACTCTGAAACTCCGTCTCGATACACCAAGTCCAGGAGGGAGCCAGATGCTGTTGAGAAAAGGGGAGGAAAAAGTGAAAGGCTGGCTGAGTCAAGCAAAGACTACAGTTCTTCGTATTCCAGGGCTGAGATTCCAGGGCTCAGGACCAGCGTGGCTGAATCCCAGGACTACACCCTCCATACCAGGGACAGTGTTGTCAACGCAGAGGTGCTGCTCAACATGGAAAACCAAAGACGAGGTCAAGAGCTGAGTGCCACTGGGCAGCAGGCCCACGAACTGCCCCCCACAGTTGAGAGTTCCTCATCCTTCTCGTTCTCCGGGCAAGACTGCTCCTTCAGTGAAGTGCCAAGGTCCCCAAAGCAAATGCACAGTGTACCCCTCTCCTCACCTGGGCAGCCAGCCTCCCCAAGCCACTCTGGTGACCCACCACTCCCTGCTGAGGCTCGATCCAGGTAAGCAGTCAGCTCGCACAGACCACCATTGATGGGGAAGCACCCATGCCTTCTCTGCCTCCAGGTGTCTTAGAGTCCGGGTATTCTTGGCATCTGTGGAGTCTGGGGGCACTGCAGAAATAATATGATATATGATTTTTTAGTTTCAACAGTATCAGAACAGATTCTACTAAAGCAGGAAGCTATTTTTTTTTTTTTTTTTTTTTTTTGCTCTTTCTTTTTTTAGTAAACTCAACAGTGCCATGAGAACACTTTCATGGACGCTTTGTTTTATGACCCTTCTTTTTGCTGTTTCTCACATGCCTTTTAACAGTTGCCTTTTTCTTTATTTCTTTTTCTGTAATCATACCCAAGACTTTTTGGTGATTGCTTTTGTTGCCATTTAAAATCCCATCCCAGAAGGAGCACCACTAACCAGTGGGAGGGTCTCAGTTTAGGGTATGAAGTATGACTACAATATATACTGACTCCAACCAACTGTGACATATAGTTATGTAAGTATATCAACACACTGAGAAAACAGCTGTTTATAAAATGCCTTATTAAAAAGATGAGCCATTAAGAAAAATCACTATGCAAAAAAAAAAAAAAATCAACAAGAGACAATAACAGCTCTCATTTGGAAAAATCAGAAAGTCACACTAAGAGAGAATATATGTTTCTTTCTAATTTCACATTTAAAAAGTGCAATAACCATATTTAAAATGTAATTGACTTAAACACTCCATCCCATTTCAGGGTTTGGGGTAATTGTCTCAGTAAACTTATGAGTGTATTTTTTAGCTCAAACAAGCATTAGCTTTGCAAGTGAATTGAGGAGGGGTGAGAACTTATGGTCAAGTAAAATTATTCTGAAGAAAAAAGATGTTGGAAAATACTTGTATTTGTTTCACATTGGGACATAGCAGTAAATGTTATCATTTTTAAGTAGCAGTAATGCATCTAAAACTGAGTGTATCAAAAACTTAGTTCTTAAAGTTTATTGAACCAAAGACCTGTCTTTACTCACTTGGCCATCCACACTGAAATGTTTAGAGACATCAGCTTCTAAGAGAATTAAGTACCATAGACTCTGAGATTGTATTTTGAGGGCCTTTGTTCAGCCTTTGGAGTTTACTTACTATTTAGAGACTGTGACCTGTTGTCTCATATTTTGAAAAGCCTGTTGTTTGGGAAATTTGCATTTTCTGGTAGAAACAGTATTCTTGGCTTAGTCAATCTCTGTTAAAGAAAATTCTTCATGTGCTCTGTGAGCAGGACAAAGAAACCTAACACTCAATTTAGAAAGAAAGAGATTGACAGTTATCTGGGTTAAAAAGTAGTGAGGCATCTAATTTCTGGTCGCAAAGGTATGGAAGCTGCTTAAACTGTTACCACGCGTCCAGGTTAGTCACCTAGATCACAGGTAATAGATTCTTGGTGGTATTTTAAATCAGTTGTTAAAATAATTAAAACTTGGTTGCGTAGTTCATGTAAAAAGATAGGATACTTAATAGCTTTGTGTAAGCCAAAAATCTTAATATTCAAAAATTTATATACAATCTTGAGCCATTTCTTTCCAGGTTATTTTGAAGAAGAATGTTACCTGGAAGTTTTCCTAAGCCTAGTCTTAGACTCACACTGCCTTACTTTCACAAAGAAAGGCTTCAAAGAATTAAGAAATTGTAAAGAAGTCCTTGAGGAGGCACATGCTTTATTTTTTTTTAAACCATTCAAGGCATACACTTCTATGATTTATATGCAAAGAAATACAAATCATTTCATATAGAGAGAGGAAATGCCTGAGGTAGCTTTACATTAAAAAGAAAGGAATATAATATATGACATTAAAAACGATTAAGATTTATTTTGTAATGACTCCAGCCATTCATCTTGTAAAGGTGGATTTCCAAAGGATTACTATTCTGCTAGACGTTCTCTCCCTAGTACCAGGTAATTCAGGTGCCAAAAAGTCACTGCTGTCTGATTTCCATTTGTGGGGAAGAAAGACCAAAAATACTTTGTGAACTAAAACAGTAACCAAAGAAACCTCAGTTACCCAATAACCATGAGTGAAAATAAGATGTCATCTGAAATGGAATCAGATAACAGAAGAGTTTAAGAAGATTAAGGGATGACCAAAAAGTATCTACAAATAACAAAACAATTGAATAGCACATTTCATTGTGGGTTTGTTCTGTCATTGAAATCGAATGTTTTTCTCACTGTGACACTGTACTTATCACCGAGCTCTGCCAGGAATTTTGGCTATTAATATCTGAATTAACTCATTGCCATTTCATTTTATTTTGTGCTCACTAGTAGGAGGCTGTTTTTGTTTCATTAATTAAATATGAGTACATCATTCATGAATATACTGTCACAAGACCACCTACAGTAACCTGAAAATTCAAATGTGAGCCAGATATCAAATGCTCAGCTTTTCCATGCGCTCATGTGCACTGACACATGTACACGCAGAACAATCATCTGTTCTTATACTTCACTGTACTGTACTGTTTTTAAGCATTATAAGCTCAGTAACAATCTTTAGGACAATATTTAACTGAGTAATAAATTCATTTTAGAATTATTTAATGTTTAATTTATATGATAAAGAAGATATGTATTATGTATATACAGGATGGGGCAAAAGTGGGTTTACAGTTGTTCATATGGAAAAATAATACAATAATTAATCAACCAATAATAATTCAGGAATAAAGTCTGTTTCATGTACTTACCACTGTCAGCCTACTTTTGCCCTGCTCTGTATGTGTCTAGGTTACCAGATCTTTAGCTAAGAAGTCCTGTTAGTTGCCTGGGAATCAGGTGAACACATTGTTCTGAAGCCAGTTAAGAAATGCACCTAGTAACAGAGTAGAGCATAAGACACCTCCCAACTCCTGCTTTCCAATCCTGCCAAGCCCATAAACTTGGAATTTAGAAATTATATTTTGTGGAGAGGAAGTATTACTAATATGAACCACTTTTGTTAATTCAGCCACCTGTGAATTTTAAAATAAAATTTAAAGTTATTGGGGGCCTATGGATTATTCAAATTTTTAAAAACCTGAGCCCCTGCTACTATTAGAAATCCTGAATCAAGCTCTTATTGAATTTGCTACTTTGTTCACCTCATATTATTGAAAAGCAAAATGAAATGCACTATATTGGTTAGTTCTGTGAGTGGAGACACTGTAGCAAAGCCCACAGCTGGTGTCCTCATGAGTATCAACTGTGACTCCCTCCTCTCAGTGAGCTATAGGTCCAGCAAAGAGGAGAATGCTCTCTTAATTGTCCAGTGGTGCTCTACCCCAGAAAACCCTTGTTCATTTTATTTTCATTACTCTTCAGCAGCGATTTTCAACCAGTGAGCCCCAAGAATTTTTAAAACGTGCAATACCTGACTAGTCAGGGGCACTGACCTCTTTTCCCTTAGACTGTCAAATTTAAAAAAAAGAAAAATGACAACAGCCAGCACAACAATAGCCGTTCAGTGTGAATGAATCAGGATTATACCTATTTTTTGTCAGATCAGCAAAAAATATATGTTTTTTGTTGTGCCGCAGAATTTTAGTAAGTAGTTTATGTGCACCATGAGATGAAAAAGGTCAAAAATCACTGCTCTACAGCAATCCTCACCACTCCTTCTCCCACTGAACAAATTGTGACTTTAGTGGCCAGGAAATGCTGAAGGTGGCTTCAGGCCGCGCTGGCACTGAAATTTGACCCGGGGAGGGCAGCCATTGGGAAAGGATGGTTTGGGCAGGGCTCCCCGTAACACCAGAGAGCTGGGGCCGCGCTCAGGACAGACCAGGGCACCCTCCAGAATGAACCTTTTCTGCAGCACCGTGACATGCAGGCTGGGCTGCCTAAGAAGGAACAGGGCTTATGCTGTGCTCTCATAGTTTATTTCTGATTGCGTTTGTCTCCCAGTGAGGGGGTGACTCTAAAAACTGTCCCCACAGCCTCAAGCTCATTGTTTTAGTTCTTAATTGCCTGCTTACCTGCACTGACAGAAGTGTCCGCGGAAAATGACACTGAAGGAGAGAACTGCCTCTTCACCATCAGCAGTTCTGTCTCTGCCTGTCCTTCTGGTGGCAGGAAGGAGCATGTGGAACACAGGCTTCATGTCACAGCAGAATGTCCCGGAAAACAGAGACCTCTGAGGATCCACTCTCCAAAGAAGAGACCTCAGGGTTTTTTCCAGTGTTGGAATGGAATCCTTTTCACCTTTCAGTCCCTGGACCCCAAAAGCTGCCGCCCTCTCCCTGTTCTCCGAGCTCCGTAGACATGTGCTCACCTCATTCCCATTTTCATTTCATTTTATTCTCTTCTTACTGGCAAGCATCAATGTCTGTTCATTGAATTCAATACGAGTATGTCATCCCAAACACTTGAACATTCAAATGTCTGCCCCATTTTAAAGGCATACGCCTGTGCATATGTCCAAAGCAATCATTAGCACTTCCTCCAAACAAGCAGCGTTAGCAAATAAACTGTCCATTTTAATGAAATGCTGAAGTTAATAGCCATTTTTCTTAAGTTGAATAATGTTTTATAATTAGCAGTTGTTGCGTAATTGGAGCTGGACGCCCACAGGGTGGAACTAATTTTATTATGCTCGACTCGACCTCACTTTGGTAGCAGGAAGCACTATGAAAGGGAGTTAAAGCCTATCGTTACATACTGAGGCACAGAGACCAAGAGAGACTCCTGTCCTCTCTGACAACTGGGGGTGCGTTCTTGTGGTCCGGTACTGTAATTCTTGGCCAGCCAGTTACCGCATCATAAAAAATGTTCTGTCACACGCGAGGCCAGCATCTCACTGTCCCCTCATCCCCGGTAACCGGTTGTCCTCTCACAGGGAAGGTAGCCTCTTTCCTGTGGGAAGTTGGCTCCCCCAAAAGGCCCCACAAAGTAGTTACTTGATGTTAAAGAATTTTAAATTCTCAGAAACAGAAGTAAACCTGGAGGTTCTTTAGTTAAAAAAATCTATGATATACAGGAAGAAACTA